GGCACTATACATATGTCTGCAATAGTATACGTGGCTTTTTTAGAATGCCTATATTCACTGATAGAGAAGCAAATATGTTTAGTCTAATGTCAAAAATTTCTTAAAAAGATACGATTTTACGTTTCTCCGTTTCCTAAAGCTTATACCCTTTTCACCATCATTAATTCGTCAATGAGCCTTGGTTTGTAATTTTCTTGGACGAAGAAAAGGGAAAGAAATTGTAAATACTGCTTATAAAAAAATATTGTTTTACTGATATTCAACGGCATATCAAGCCTGGACGACGACGGTAAAGTCTGCAGTATTACAATTGAATGACTTCCGTTTTAATGTATTAAGCATGATTGTTATACAAATCAATATCGAACATATACACGCGAATTGCAATGATTTGAATTTAAGAAAGCATTTAAATGAGCAGACATTATTACTGATAAAGTGTAAACTTTACTATCAAAACTTAGATGTAATATGGATTAAAGATTTAACTCCTTACATAATTCGCTTGAGATTTCAATAAATCAATTGTAGTTCTGGGCTGATATGCATAAAACTACTTAAGTTAAGAATTGTTCCGAACGGACAGATTTTTCTACATGTCCTACGATATATTAGTACTACGATTGAATATCTTAACTTAAGTGGTTTTATGCATATCAGCCCTGGTATGTAAATCAATTTTAAGTTTCAATCTAATTTTATTTTTAATTGTATGGCATCACGTGTCAAAACATGTAGTTAACATTCTGCTGCCTTTTTTTATTCTGCGTTGTACTTTTACGCCATACGGTCAAGACATGTGGGCACGTAACAACTTGTTTCATTCAACTTCATTGTGTGCCTGTACCTATCCAGGCTTTGTTAACCAGTTGTTGTTTGTTAATGTGTGTTTGGGTTTTTTACACCTTTTGTCGTAGCAGTTGGGTGTTGGTGGTTGGTGTGTTTCATTTGTTTATGTATTCTTGTAATCTGTTATTTTTTTATCATTTTTAAATTCAAAGTATCACATCTGAACTTAATAAATAACAAGTATGGTAGTCTATTGTGTATACTCTTAAAATTGAAACCGACACTGACCTTTCGTTTGAAAGAAAATTAATCGGAAATTTTGTAATCGCTTAAAAATAATTCGCATATTCACATTCTTTGACGTCTATATCATCTTCTTCTTGCCCACTGCTTTGGGTTCAGATAAATTATTCTGCCTTTTTTTTTCATTTGAAATAAGATTTATAATTCCCCTTTTAAGAAGAGTTTATTTAAAAACTTCTACAAAATTTATAAAACGATGCTTGTGTGCCCAAATTCCAAAAATTCATGATATTCATGGTATATGAGAACAGGAAAAAGAATACAAGTGTATGCTTTTTATGCCAATATCATCCACATGCAACCAAAATGTTCAACAACAAACATGTCTTGCAGGTTTTAATATCGACGACTTAAGTATGAAATATCTGATTGCACATGGCCAAGTTTCCCATTCGTATACTATCCAGCTGGTCACGATATTACTGATGCCTTCAACATTGTCAACAACGCCGTTCGTTGACATTGACATTCATTGAACGAAAACCATTGAGCGGACTTTCAAAAAAGATATTAAATTTGAAACTAATTGTCTATTGTATTAGGCTAGTGATAAATACTCTCTCGTATGGAGAAGTTTTCTTTGCTGATATCTCAGTTGATAAAAATGCAGTCTTATTTCTTGAAGGTAGTTTCCCACTTGAAGACTTGCTATGGTATACAGAAAAGAAAACACTTGGTGACACATACTTACTTAGAAGTGTGCAATACTCAGATTCAGTAAAGAAGTTGCTAGACGAACAATACACGTATACGATATTAGCAACTGAACTGAATAAAATGCGCCAACAAATATCCATCAACAACGCAAAAAGCGGCTCTGTCGTCTCTGGTTTAGTATGGTTTGAAAATATGACGTCATATATCAATATACTGAAGACTATACAAGATAACTTAGCAAAGGTAAACATAATATTAGCTTAAGTAAAAGTTAGTAGAGTATTTCATACATGTCTATTTTATTTTTAAAAAAAAGTACAAACATGTATAATTCACCTTGTATAATAATTTTTTTTTTTAATAATATCAAAACATTTACATATAATAAGCTTATCACTGAATTCTTTATATCCCACTACTATAGGCCATGAGTTGTCTATACATAAGCAAAAGAGAAGATTGTCAGAGAGGTAAGAGGAATTGTCAGGCTGGTTATAGTGTTCATAGAGAAATTTGTTGATATCAGGATCATTAACATTAGACTACTGATCATTCATTAGTCTGTTAATTCTTTGTCATGGTTCGCCTACATACACATAACAAATGTAGGTCAATAATCTATAAAATCGATTCGAATACATAATTTTTCGTATTTATCGTATTTTTCGGGATTTTATAAAGTCATGAACACGAATAACGACATTTTGATCAGCCGGTATTGAAGAAAATCAAAACTATTTGTCTGATGGTATGTTCAGAGGTCCTCATTAATTCTTTCGATTTGCTACTTAATTACTCTATGAAATGTTTTTGACTAATTATATGCAATAACATTATTGGTATAATTATTGTTTAACAAAATATCTTTTTGAAACCTTTGATTCCTAGTCTCTTTTTGTATGGTATTTTTAAAGAGAGGCGAAAGATACCGAAGGAACATTCAAACTCATTAAAGTCGAAAATGAGGTGACAACTCTATGGCCATGAAGGTCTGCTATCTATCTTGATTTTTTCCTCGATAGTAAAACGGATGGGCGACTTCAAACTAGAATCTTTTAAAAACGTGATTTTCAACTTTCCGTATCTCCGTAACATACCCTCTGCCCCGTCGTATGGCGTTACACGTCTCAAAAACAAGGTTACGCTATCGCATGTTCATATTAATTGAACTATATCAATAGGGGTATGCTCCTTACACTAAAACTGCTCCGACAGGGTTATCAGGACGAACAACTGAAGTCGACACTACATAAGTTTCACGGGCAACAACACAAATTATATGACAGGTACGATGTGTTTATGTCTCAACTAACAAGCAACAAGTGTTTGCAGTTTTCATTCTTCATACACCAGAATATTCAGCAGATCTGTAAAATAAGCAATTATGTCGCATTCCCGATTGTAACATTTTTACTGAGTGAGCAAATCACAAGTCCTTATTGTCCTCAATTAATATTCCATTTAGCAACACATCTTCGGACTTACCTTGTTTGTTATCGATATCTAAACTTCACCAAACTCTGTACAAACAGTGGTTCATTGTCGACTCATCTTCATGTTCTACTAAGGAGTTGTCTGTTAGATTGAACAACATTTGGCCGCAGTGGTAGAGGGATTACAGAAATACTGTAAAACTGTTTACTCGGGGAGTGGCATTAACCATATGTGGTTTCTTAAGAAATTAAAAGAACTTCTGGAAACTAAAATACCGGTCATCCTCTGAAATGAATTATATCAAAACCTTCGAATGTGCTCGTTTTTCATTGACAGCATATTTATTGAATTTGGAGGTAGAATTTTCCAGGTTTTCGGCATTCCTATTGGAATTCAGATTGGGTCCCATTTATATTTCTTACTAAATTAGAGATTAATGACAGTACAGATACAGTTTACTCCGCTTCTTTTTTTTTATAACATATACTTCGAATTGCAATAGCTACAGTGGTCATCTCAGTACCAGGGTCTATGTCAAGAGAGACGATTTCGATGTCTAATTATTAAGGATGTCAACGAGTACTCGAGTATTCGAATATCGCTCGGTAATACCGAGTATCGAATACCAAAACGATACTCGACTAATCAGTGTCCTGTTAGAATATTGCTGTCTACTTTATATAAAAATGATCTTCTTGAGAACCTCTTTCAGAAAATTGAATAGGCATCACTGATTAATCATACATTTGTGCTAAATTGTCATCTAAAATGCCTCCAAAATTACGTGGGCTATACTTAGGCTAACACATTAAACTAAACATTGCTTAGCCATTCCGTCACATCGGTACCGTCAGAACAAATATTTTCGTCTGCAAGACTGTAATTTACATAGTTGCAAAATGACTTTTCCCAATAATAGTTGAAATGAAAATGTGTCCAAATAAAATAAATTCGTTGCATCCTATGGTGACCCTCAGTGAATAGTTAAACTTCTAATCCTTACGCCTTTGTAAACATTAAATGTGTTTTCTTAATGATTATAGGTGCTGGAATTGTGTATCAATTTATTCACTTTACAATTACCCCTCTATTGGTCTTTGTACTCTTCGGATTCGGACGCATGAGATTTCTATAAAAAGTAAAATCACAAAAATACTGAGCTCCGAGGAAAATTCAAAAAGGAAAGTCCCCAATCAAATGGTAAAATAAAAAAACAAACACATCAAACGAATGGATAACAAAGGATAAAATGTTTTCAGTTTGTATACACTTGCATTGATATTTTACTTAATGTTTACTTTATCGGTAAAGTATATGTCATTATGTTTTACTTTACTATATGTACTATCAAGTACAAAAACTGGAGTGTTTTATGTTGGCGTCTTTATGAGATTTATTTGTATGTTTGTTTACTTTTTGTAAGTCAGTTGTAATGTTTGTTCATCCAGTTTTGACTGCTGGACCACAATCATTGTCACGTTAACCAATTACGTCTGTTTGGGTTGATTACTCAGTTGTTTTCAACATAACGGAACTATGAACAACTGTTATACAAGTGGGAGGTTGCACTAGCTATAAAACCAAGTTTAACCCAACATCTTCCTCGAAAAACGCCAGAATCAAATCAGGAATATGACAGTTATTTTCCATGCATTCCGTTGGTTGATATGGTCGAGCGTTTTTATTTTGTCAGGTTTTATGGACTTCTCCGTTTTTGAATTTACATGGTAGTTTGGGGTTTTTTTTTGTTGATATTTTTTCCAATTTACCATTTCTTGTTCATCCTTATTGCTCTTTTACTTTTTATCTGTAGGAAATTGTCGTGTCTCTAAACAACAATTTGAGTAAACATGAGATGGATGTGAGAATAAGTATATGTATAGTGGTTGGGGCAGTAGTAATGTTCCCCGTGATAGTTGTGCTTGTGTACCGTCTTAACAAAAAGTTACAATTATTTGCGAACTCATTGAAGAATAAGACATATGATTTAGAACAAGAGCGAAAAAGATCAGAACAATTACTATACCAAATGCTGCCTGTTTCAATAGCCAAGCGAATGATGAAAAATAAGCCTATAGAACCAGAATATTTTGAATCAGTAACGATATACTTTTCCGATATAGTTGGATTTACGACTATCTGCTCTAAAAGTTCACCAATGCAAGTCATTTATATGTTGAATGCCTTGTATAGTATGATAGATGAACGAATAGAAATGTTTGATGTATATAAAGTAGAGACAATAGGTGAGTATATTTATAGTATACAAAATCATGTCTATTTGTTCTTTTTACTTTTATTTGTAAATAAATTCATAAACGAACTAAAAGATGATATAGCTTTACTATTACAAGGTTTATAATTGTACTCAGAAGAGCCTATACAAAAATTATTCTACATACTTTAACCTTCGTAGATTGTGAGTTCGGTTCTGAAATTTAGGTGATATGCAGTTTTATTTTTTTCTTCATTTACAGTAATTTCTACGTAGATAAAAATCACTTGTACTAAAATGCTGCCATTCAATTTGAATTTGACAGACCAACAATCTTCAATAATAGTCAAATGCCTATACGATATGTGAAATCTGTCCGAGTCTAAAACGTTTTGAATAAACTTAACAAAAATTATCAAAACAAATATCTGCAATCAACACTACGTTCTCTAAATGCCAAAAAGAAGATTGTAAATGCCAAATTATAAAATATAAAAAACAACTACAAATGAATATTTTGAAATATGACAGGAACGTGATATGGCCGGTTTTTTTTATGATATCTCTACATTTTTGTTTTTAATTACGATCAACCAAATAACATGACATTCATAAAAGCACATTTGAAAAAATACAATAACACCAAAATACAGGAAAAACATTTTATAAGGCGACTAATGTAATCGACAGATTTCTTTCATGAATATGGGGCGGGGTTTAACTTGTTTTATGACGAATATACCCTCATTCTTTGAACTTCGATCACTATAATAAAAACACATATTATCAAAATGAACAATACACATCAGTGCAGGAGAAGCACATCACCCCCTTTTTCAAGTACAATAGACAACACTTATAGTAAAACAATACTCAACAACACCATAGCAAGACATGTTTGTAGCTGCTAAACCTATTAAGGTTGCATCATTTTCTGAAGAGCCCTTTAATCCTTTGTAAACTGAAATGCTTAATAGTTTGTAAATTTGTAATCTATTAATGGTCAAAGTGCGTTCAATAAATCCAGATAGAGCATTTACAAAGGACAAAAAGATTTAAGACCATTTCAAATCAGGTCCAAAGGTTCTTAGAAAGGGGTTTCCATAAATAAGCGTAAGCGTTAAATATTAACTGTATGTTCAGTAATATAACATGAATAATTAAATGTCATTGTGTGATGATTGAACGAACATGTGCCCTAATACATAGAACATACATGACTTGTCATGTCTTTCAGTAAGAAAATAGAATATTATCAATTGTTAGCTTAGAGCGATCGTTATGACCCCATAATTCAGGGTTTATGAACTTTAAATCCATATTTTGTTGTTTAATTTTCGGGCTCTCCAGAATATTAGATGATATGAAATGTTATCTGGTAACTGATATTGATAATAAAACGTCTATATCGAAACTACAATAATTGCGTCTTATTTGCGATATTTGTCCTTCAACCTGTCTCGATTCTAATGTTTGTTGATTTAAATCTTATTTCCTGAAAATATAAATATTTACTTAAGGTGATGCCTACATGATGGTTTCCGGTCTGCCAGTAAGGAATAATGACCAACATGCATCGGAAATAGCTTTGATGTCATTAGACATATTGGAAATAGTTGGTCAATCGGTAATACCTCATATACCAGGGGAGAAATGGCAAATAAGGATTGGAATAAATACAGGTATTGCAATTAAGTTGAATTAATGATTAAAAGAAAAACACTTAAGAGAAGAAAGATCACAATAAAATCATATAACAAATTGTCTACCGATCAGTTATGTTTGACAATATTGTACAATTTATTATTGAAATGCGAAGAGACTTTTACCAGTTTTCTACCGAGAAAAAAATTAAGATAACCTTTCATAAATGTTATGCATTCGAAGCACTTTAACGGATTTACTTTCATCAGGAACGCACACAGCCATAAATTCCAATTCAATTCGTAGAAACTGTGATAAAAAAATATCTTAGAGAATAACGTTATATGCATTTTTAATTCAGAGTGAAGTAGCAATCTAAATCAATGCATGCTCCTATAAATTTCAAACTATTAATCAGGACAATGTCTCTCGCTATTATACTTGCATTAACATTCAGTTACCGAACACGGTCCTTTCAATGGTTTCAAACATGCGTATATATACATATAAAACATAATCTATACCAAAATGATGTTAAAAGGGCATAAGCTGTCGAATTCTTATTCGTCGATTTAACTCAAACACACATATCTGATTTATAACATGCTAAAACGAATCTCCAATTTTCAAAAAGTATGATATAAGCAATTGACAAAGCATAGACTAATATGTATTAGCATTTCGTGAGTTAGTCTACACGCCATCTAATTTACCATCGAGATGACCTCCTAAGACTGCAGACGGTCATATAAACCGATATATAAGCATGAATATAAAAAGATAGCGAGCACGTGCAATTGTATTTTCTATGTCTGTTTAATTCCATGTTATATGTTTATTAATGTTTTTACCTGTATAATAATGATTTTGTTTGTGGAATGAATCAGTCAACAAAATTGTTCACCTTTGTTTCACTTTTAATGTTGACATTATTTTCCTTTACATAGGTGAACACGCCTAGTACATGCGTAACAATCTCCGGCTAAGGGGTTAAATTGAAGGTCACATACATACGGATTCAAATGAGGTTGAATTATTGACTTGCAAGGCAGTACTTCATCAGCGATGTTCTTGGGCCATTTTGACAAATATTGGTCAAACTGACTGCTTATAACGAAATATTATTTCAAACTTACGCTTTTGTCAATACTTGAAATAAAAGAATCGTATGGTAAATTTTTGTCGAAACCGTAGCTCATGCCTTTTTTAATGGACTTTTTAATGCACACATATATTCAAATTTTTAAAAAGATTTTTGTTTAATTTTCGATTCAGAATTGTTTAAGAAAAGCATTGGTTTAACTATGTTACAAATAAAGCTGCTAGCTATATCGAACGTATTAGTTTTTGATTTACTGCTTTAAACTCGAAGTTTCCTGGAAGGTATTCATCATTACATAATTAGGGCATACGATCGTTTTACATTTAGGTTAAGACTGACACTTGCGTTACTTAACACTTGCTTTACAAAGTGTAGTAAAGAAATACTTAAACGTCCTGGTTTTCGAATGTATATGATAGAATTAAGACGTATCCTTAGATGGTCTTAAGGGATATGTCTCAGTCCCATGTGTTGTAAGTTGTTTTTATTCAAAAGTGTCCCGAAACACATATGATAAATAATTATCAATTAGACAATTATCAAGGTAAATTATATAACCTCAATTCTCCAAGTTGAAGTTTTGATTTGTTAATGCTTTCTTTTCGAAGGTTCTGTCGTTGCTGGTGTTGTAGGAACAAAAATGCCTCGATATTGTTTGTTTGGCAATACAGTTAACGTTGCATCTCGGATGGAATCAACAAGTCAACGTAAGTTATAACATTTTAACCAGTTTACGGAACAACGAACAATAGCCTACCACTTGTCATTAGTCCTATAATAATTTGATATAAACTCGTTTGACAAAATTATATTCTTGTGATTATTCGTCGCTTCCAAGCTATTTGATAATTAGTATTATTCCTTTGATTGCAATGGAATAGCGTGATTTCGCAGTAAAATAAAATCCATTGATTTCACATGTGAACAAAATCCGCTAATTTCAATCCTCATACAATAATGGGTTAATACATTACATCAAAACGAAATGAGAATGCCTATCAAAAGATATTGTCCTTTTTCTTTTTACTGTATTTTTAAAAATGTCATGTTCATTATTATAAAAAGAATAACTAATTCAAGAATATTGGAAATTATCAACTCGTGACCGAACAACACTAAGAATTAACTCATGCGCTACGCTCATTCGTGAAGTATCGTATTGTTTTGTCACTCGTTGAAAAAATTTGTAAATTTCAGTTATTGGATTATCTTCTATTTCGTAAGTTCAATTGAACATAAAATATTTATCAATATGAATTATATAATACAAAATTCCCAATGAAAATTGTCTGTCTCGGAGTAGCACTTCAATATTTTCGACCCATCTTGGACAATCAACCTGCAAATAGATATTTTTTATATTTATTTACTTAGAAAAAAGCCTCTAGCTCACTTGACTCGAATGACTTAAATTACAAACAAACCAGCCGTGCATGAACTTCTATCCGTATTAATTTAATTGTCCAATCAAACAGTCTCATATATAAATACCATAAGCAAACGTACCTTACGTACCTTAAAACATAACAAACTTGTATCGATATATGTACAACTTCGATAAATTTAATATATTATTATATAAATATTTATATATACCTATAAAATCGATAATGGATCTAGTTATAAGTGCTTCTTCGAATAAAGGCGGCAATAGTTTACCGATGTTCATATTTCATAAATCGATAATATTAGGATAAGACAAACAATAGGGGGAGGCGAGTGGTTGAGCGCTTACAAACATATTAAATTTAACCCCGCCACATTTGTTATGTGCCTGTCCAACGTCAAGAGTCTGTAATTCAGTAGTTGTCGTTTGTTGCTGTCATATTTGTTGTTCGTAAAGTGTTTTGTTATAAACTAGGACCTCAGTTTGCTCTTTAATTTGTTTAAAATTTTTCATATCAGGGCCTTTTATAGCCGACTATACGGTTTGATTTTTTTCTTTGTTGAAGGCCGTGCAGTGGCCTATTACTGCTTATATTTACTTCATTTGAATTCTAGTGGATAGTTGTCTCATTGGCAATCATTCCACATCTCCTTATTTTCATATTTATACAGGGTAACAAACACATACTGAGAGAATGGCACGAACTCCAAAAGGACCGCGACGGAGTGCATCGGCAGGGTAAGCGTCCCGTCGTGGGTATTCACAATCAGTGAAAATGGCATAATCGGAAATAAATAAAGGCAAAAGTAGTATACCGGTGTTCAAAAGTCATAAATCGATTGAGAGAAAACAAATCCGGGTTACAAACTAAAACCGAGGGAAACCCATCAACTATAAGAGGAAAACAAAGGAACAACAGGAACACTGAAGTGCAACAAAAATAAAGCCAACATACATAGGAACGAAGAATTGGATTACAACTGCCATGTTCATGACTTGGTACAGGACATTTAAAGAAAACATGTTGGGTTGAACCTGGTTTTATGGCTAGCCAAACCTCCCGCTTTTTGACAATGTTAAAAATTATCGCTAAAATGACAACACTACGTGACAGAAATACAGCACAAAAACACAAAATAAAAACACTCATCACACAGAAACGCACATACAAATAATATAATAGTCGACACAAAAAGCAAACTTCAGAAAAACAACATCTCCCATCAACGACAGACACCACAGGACATCGAAAACAGTGACGTACTTACATAACGAAAATGCAATCTCGAACTTTATACAATTATTTTCACAATACCAGTCCAAACAATTTTCATGACAATGATGGTATTGAAAAGCAATTTTATAATAATTTGGACTACAAAGAGTAAGACACAATAAGTAATATTACAAATCAGACGACTGTACTGGTATATAAAAGTATAATACCGCAAACACCTGTCATATACAGTGGGTTTTCCTCATATCTCTGTCGGAGAGGTTTTTGTGTCAGGAATACACCCTGTTAAGGATTTTTTTTAAAGATCGTTGTACCAAAATGAGACCTTATCAGAGCTCCAAGAAACCAATTATTCCAGATCAGTTAAGCATGAAGGAGCGTCACTACTGATAAGGGATATTGGGAGTTAACGTTAGTGAGACATTCATCTCACAACAAAACGTAACTAAAATAGAGATAAGAATGAATTGAGAAAATGGGTGTCCATGTTGAATGCGTCCTAGCCACTTTGAGATGAGATCCACCAATACAAGATCTCATCTTTTGCTTACGGTTTTCCCAAGTACGTATAGGGATTTTACATCCTGAAATAATACACCATAATCCCTGTTTTCAAACCACAGCGTGTTCAAAAACATATATTTATATATATTCATATATCAAAGATCTGAACAATATGTTTATTGCAAAGAGATAAGAATAGATTAAGCCAATCTTAATCCTGTGACATCAATGTATACATGTAATTGTTATGTCGTATTACATAGAAAAATTTAATGTATTAATAAAGATAATTTACGATTATATACACCGGAATGTACTCGTTGTATACAAAATAAATTGCGTTTAATAAACTAAATCATCCGACCTTTGAAAATATATTAATATACTATTTTTTACCAAAATGTTTCACAACATCAAAGTAAGACAGCGTCTTTAAATCAACACAGATTAAGTTTCCAGTTTGAAAAACAAATACATGAAAAGCTAGTTTATAATTCATTTTTGTATATGGGATATTGTTTGCATTCATGATGGTTAAGTCCGGATGAATATAAGCCAATGCACAAAAGAAAGAAGACAACATATACACATATTCTTCACAGGAACTAACGATTCAAAATATGACTAGTTCCATTCAAAAAATAAATAGAACAATTCAAATGCTCCGAACGAGTAAATAAAGGCAACAGTAGTATGCCGCTTTTCAATAGTCATAAATCGATTAAGCGAAAAACAAATCCTGGTCACAAACCAAAACTGAGGGAAACACATCAACTATAAAAGGAAAACAACGGAACATCATAAACACTGAACTGCTACAAAACAAACGCCAACATAAATAAAAACAAACTATTTGATAACAACTGCCATATTCCGGACTTGGTACAGGATATTTTAAGAAAAATGGTGGGTTGAACCTGGTTTTATGGCTAGACAAACCTCCCGCTTATATGGCAATGTTAGAAATACCGCTAAAATAACAACATTACGTGACAAGACTACAGTACAAATAAACGCAAGAATACTCAGGACAGAGAAATACATAAATAAATAATAACAGTTTATTTTTCGGGCCACTGGTTGAACCTTTCGTGTTATTAGGGTCATGTTAAAATCAGGAATAATTTTAAATAAAAAGAATTGTTTCATTTATAAATATGTAACGTCTACAAATCCATTCGTTAGGAAACTATTTTGCTGCTGTAGTTTTTGATTATATGTTTATGAAAAGGGACAATATTATTTTTAAAGGGATTTTAGTTCATAATATTAACAAAAATAATGAATTTCAATTGCCAAACGCGGAAAAAAGGTGTAAACCACTGGAACGATACTGCTGCTGACTGATCCTCTCACACATTATGTGCCCTGTAGCCAAGGCTTTTCTCGGACCAGGAAATTGATTTTGTAGAAGGGTTCAATTTTTTTAACGCTTTTGCTAAATTTATTGATTAAGGGTATATATGAACAGAATACATAAAATGCCTGTACCCAGTCAGGAATATGACAGTTGTTTTCCATTCGTTTGAAGTGTTTGGACTTTAAATTTTGCTATTTCCATTTCAAATACATTTTACTTTACAAAAAGCCTTCACAATGTCCCTACATGGTTTATAAAATTCTATTCTGTTTCTTTTTTCTTTTTTTTCCATACCATTCATGTTTTTAATTGCTGAAATTGTTTAATATACAAATTAGGAGATGTGGTATGATTGCCACTGAAGAAACCATCCACCGAAGTATTAATGAAGTAGTAGTTATTAATTATAGGCCACCATACGGCCTTTAACAATGAGAATAATCTATACCGTATTGTCGAGTTTAAAAGGTCCCAACATGCAAATTTGAAACAGTTCAAACGAAAATTCAACGATCTCACATTTTATATTTTATTTTGATTTGTTTTCTCGAGTGAACATGGTGATGTTTATCCCTGATAAACGCGCTGTGCAAATCTACAACAAATACTATAATACATTTCATTTAAAAAGTTATATTACCGAAGTATCACTGTCCTGAGTGAACAAAGGAATTTACAGCGATTGTTTTCGATTGCTCATGTGTTCGTCTGATGCAATTAACTATATTTTGAGCCTAAAATTGATTTAATATGAATATCCGTCGAAGAATAAAGTTCAAATACTTTTTGTCATCATTTGGTATCCTGCTCCCAGGGGTCAAACAGCATCGTCTAAAATTAAGAAACACTAAACCGCGGTCAAGGCTTCGAAACAATTTAATTACCATAGGAGATCTTGTCCCTAATTGTCAAAGAAATTTGTTTTTTTTTTAAATTCAATGTAAATATTAACTTTTTTCATGTACAAAAAATCCACGCCAAATTAATTAGACAAATATAATCCTTCAGCTATAATGAGAAAAAACCACTGGCGTGGTGTCTTACTCGGAGCAGAAACTTGATTTCATAGCAGGATTGAATGTGTTTTTTTATACTTTCCTACATTTATAAATTAAAGATATACTAAAACAAAACATTACATAAGACTGATTTGTCAAATACATTTAAAAAAAAACGAAAAGCCTTCACAATTTCCTTTCCTAGTTTTTACAATTATATTCTGGGTATATTTTTTCTTCATTACCATTCATGTTTTTAATTGTTGAAATTCAAAGTGCATGTTTGAGTCTACTTCTTGGCTATTGTGCATGATGCATTAAATCTTTGTCTTGGGACATAAAGGTAACGAAAAGTGTATTGTTTATATATAAGACGATTAATTAATTTTGGTTTCATTTAATAGCGAGCATGATTCATATTTCGCCATCTACGAAACTTGCTCTTGAACAACACCCAGGTTTTTTGGTGGAACTACGAGGTGAGACAATAATTAAGGTAAGACGGCATAATAAATCATTTCTATAAATGTAGATATTCCAGATACAATTATTTCCATTAGTTTCAATTCTTTGCAAGATGTTTTCATTTCTTTATAAGTCGATTGGATGGCGAAAACTCCACAATACTTTCCAATATGTCTTACTAATAATAATTTATATTACCTTTATTCAGCTTATTATAAATGTTTAGATGAAAATTAAAAATTAATGAGAGAATCTAAAAAAAAACTAAATGTTGAGAAAAGCAAACAATACTAAAAAATGCCCTGCATTTTAGTAAGAAAAGAAAATCAAAAAGTATTTATCAAAACCCATCACTAGTGTTTATATAGAAACAAGGAGATGTAGTATAATTGCCAATGAGAAAACTATCTACTAAAGCTCAAAGAAGTGGATTTAGTTCCTTTCACATACATTCTATTCAACTAAAGCGGTTGGACCAAAATAGATCATTTTTGGTCTCTGCTTTCATCCGTTCTATTGCTACTGACACTGATATCTCTATATCGTTACTTAACAATAAAAAAGTAATGATATTGGAGAATATTAACATTTTTGCTAGCTGTAACCTACAATGAGATGACACTGGTAACAAAGGTAACCTATTTCATTGATATTTTTTAGGGAAAAGGAGTAATGTTGACATATTGGTTGTTGGGACATCAGGAGAGTCACAACTGTTCCCGTTACACAGTTCCACATATATTTATCACCGAAAAACATGATAAAAGAAATTCAACAATTCTAACTCTATCCTGAAACTTCATGCCTCTCAAATTAAACAGTCTGTTGATTTTATATATCTTTTTGAAATGAAAGGTGATCATTTAATCATGAATTACTTTTAAGGTCATCGCCACTATGTTGGTCCTACCATTGTTCTGAAACCAATCAGTTGTCCGCTATGGTGGCAGAACTGATGTGTGGTACATGGGGATAGTTTGCGTTTTGTTCCTGTTATTCAAAGTTTTTTGTGGAATTAAAGCGATTGAGCTTAATGGTCATGATCATTTTTCCTTTCCAGAAATAGTTTTAATTCCTGCAGATCTATAGCTTTATGATGATACATTCTTGTATATACCAAAGACTAAAGAATCGAGTTTTCGATTTGTTTTGGCTAACGAATCTTCAGCCTGAAAAGTCCCAAAAGAATGGACTGTTAACAATTAAACTGGAGGTACTGGTATTGATAACTGTCGAAGGAATCAAACCTTTCTTATCATACATGTAACGTTCATGAAGGTTTCGACAACATACATATTATATAACATGTCGTGAAAAGACAGATAAAAAATTAACGATCAGAAGGCAATGAATCACTTCGACATAACCTGAATATATAGTGCGGCAATATAAAACGGGATACACAATGATAAGATAATTCTTTTGCCTTATATGTATTAATGTCGCTTGCACGGCTGTTTTTTTCAAAACTCATTACAAAATAAACTTTTGGAATATAATCTACTGCGCTGATGCTATAAAAATAAATAAACAAATACATTGATACTCATAGGTAGTATATCCATTTACAAATATCCCAATTCCCAATTACCAGACATAGTCCCCACTGGACTTCGATAATTTGACAATAAAAAATCTTGCCATAACAAACAAAATTATTGTCAATCAAGAAGTTTAAAACATTATTCACTACTTCGCCCCGCATGTCTTTACTATGTTTTGTATACAATGTGCATATAACATTCAATGCATTGTGTTTGACATTTATACGTAGATTTAATTATTCATACAATGTAGTTCACAAACTTCAACCACCAGGACGGCAATACCTAAGCTAAAGGTCGTCTGTTACTAATTATTTTGTCGGTTCAAATGTTTTTAATCAAAATCGAAATTGAAACATTGCTTCTAAACGGAACTGTTGATATCAAATGGCAAATAATGGTAATTTATGAAATGCATTAAAGGAAAAAATACCAAAAATAATTTCAATGAACTTAGTGGTTCAACAAAGTTGCATGGCTGGGAAAACAATGAGTCCGGGCAATGAGGAACAAGCAGTCAAATATTACCAATATTGTCGGCTAAGTGATATAGTTACATGATTTAACATAACATAGTTTTATTTATTTATGAAGATGTTGAATCTGAGATGAGAATGGACTTTGTTTTTGTGAATAAATAGGAAAGAATAAATAAATACAAGCAAGGAAATCCTATTTTATTTCATTATGCATTTTTTTATTGATAATATTCAAAATGGTGGATATACACATGCGACCAAAATTGTATAGCTCACTTCATTAGAACAGTCATGAACAAATTACTCGAATTGTAAACATGTATTCAATTACAACCTGTAGTAAGATACTACTTTTATCTTCTCCCTTGAGTAATCATTTTATACAAGTTTGACTGTACTTCGGTTATATTCTATTCCAAAGAAACTATCCCTTAAGCATAAACGAACATCAAAATGATATATGTGTACTTGACATTACACCTTTAACCCTTATTCTACCGAACTGTACATGTGTTTTCATGCAATATCGTTCAAATTTAAAACGTTTCACTTTTAATCTAGACCAAAGGACTAAGAACAGGTATATAAAGAACATACAATAAAATATGTACATAACATGCACTTGACTCTACAATAGCTTTATAAGTAGATAACACAAAATACAATTTCAAACCAAAAAATAATAAACAATAGTATAATATAATATGAGGGGATGTCTGCAGCTGCGGAAGTAAGCTCAAAGTACTTAACATGTTGATGGACAATCATGCCATCCAACACTCTAATAACGGTGTGCGTACTTCATAAAAGATCTAATATATCAACTACTTCTGTTTATCGTCAATTATAAATTTCTGTTCTTGATATTAATTGGGGTTTAGATTTTAGGGACTATTTGAAATGTAAATGTTTTAACCTTTGTTCGAAAATCTAGCTAATAAATATGTCCACCTCTCTATGAAAGATGTTAACAAAACAAAGTGTTAATTCAATATGACTTGTGAATTGTCTGTTTATATTAATATTCCTTGAAAAAATGTTTCCATGGAAGCATATAATGACATTTAGTAAAGTTTAACACACGCACACTGACTTTGACTACTTGGTAAGGGGACAATAAAGGTGAGTTCTTTATGATCAGGTTATTTTACCCGCATATGCAACTATCTCAGTCTGAATTGCGTTTGAAAACTGTGCTTTGTACTGATATACGATTGTACATAATTGACTGGTCATCAGCATAATGCATGTTTTTTGTCAAAAAGTTATAAAGAACCGTTCAAGCAGGTTTTTTTAAATGTCAACTCCCAACCGGCAAAGATGAAATTGTCATTTTTGTCATATTATTTCTCAATTATTCAAGTATTTCAACTTCCTTTGCTTTGAATTTTTTGTTTTCGGTTTCGAGCCTTTCAAATTTATAAAAGCATTTTCTCAAGATTATTTATTTTAAAGTGAATGATGTTACGGCTGAAATGCTTCCGGTTTTAATTGTGGGATAAACATAGATTCCAGTTAGAAATATTAAAATTTATTATATATTGATAGTGGATATTAACAGGTTCAAATGCTGCAAAACGCGCCTTAGCCAAAGAGGTTTTAGTTCGTCAACAGAAAAAAAGGTAAACTATAAATGTGCCTATTCTTCGATTTTAAGCTCAATCTAAATTGTGCTTATGTAAAACGTTTGCATATAGAAAATGACAACCGCTGGCATTGTTTTTGACATAAACATGTGCTTAGGTGAAAATTTTATAAATCTCAACCATCCCTCTTTTTACATCTCATTCAGAGTAAAACATTAATTAAACTGTATAACTTATAATTAAAGATCTATACTGGAATATCATTTACATAAACTATTCCGGTTTACACAAGTTCAATCAATTCTAACATACTAGACTTTCTCGGGAAAGTTTTTGATAAGAAAATAAGGACAGTTTTCCCAAAAGGCATTAATGAAAAAACATAAAATGAGTCCCTACAATCACTCAGGCTTCTGTACAGGACTCTCACAGTTTTAAGGAATGTATTCCTCCTCCCAAACATCAATATTGAAAAAAATTACCAGAGTATTGATTCGTGATAATTTGTATAACGTTCAAGATTATTATTTCAGTTCGACTACCACATGTCAAGATAAGAATCATTCGACATCTAACTGATGAAGGATATTAGTTATCCGAAATATTTAATATTTGTTTATGATTTTACTAATTTTTTTTTTGTTGATGTTGTACCCTTTTAGACTTGCTTATTATATATATGTATATATATAATTCGTCTGGATAACAGCCCAACAATGTAAGATCTGTAAATTTGCGGAAGCAAATTTTTGTTCTTCCCTGGCCGGAATTCGAACTCATTCTACTAAGATATCGTGGCACCAAATCGCCTTGCACTATGCCCGTCGCGCTGAACCACCCGAACACCTAGGCTCGACAAAAATCAAGTTTTCGGTGGCCGGGTGTTACCTTTCCTCGTCAGTTTTTATCTAGCGTCGTAACACAGTACATGACATATAAGGCATGAAGATGGAATATTACAGATCAGCTGAATTATCTATCGTAGAGGATCTTACAAAATAATGTAGGATGCAGTCACAGAAATAATTATATTATAAGTACGTCTGAACCAGTGACAACTCACCAGTGATGGTGATACAAGGCTAAAACCACATTCTGTATATATAATTCGTCTGATTATATATATATATATATATATATATAAAGGGCCTAGAAAATCAACCGAACAATGCTAGAGTAGATCAGATTCTTTACTTCCTCCCCTGCCGCGGCTGGAACCTGTACTTTTCACTTCATACTTCTACGACAACACCGCCAAGCATTGCTCAGACACCTTATCCCCTCCCCTAACTATAGCTGATAAAAATCAGCTTTCGTTTCTGGAGGTGTTACCTTCTCGTAGGAATTCAACAAGGACATCAAACGACGATGCTTCATTATTAATTATCCTTTATCTTTCCTGTATCTTTTCTCGTCTTTTTCATTTAGACCATTAGGTTTTAAAGTATGGAGCTGTTGGATCCAAAAGTTTTCTCTTCTCCTTCTCGTCGTGGTGTCCCACAGTGTTCAAATCTATGATTTGAAAAGTAACAGTATCAAAAGGATGTTTCTTTGAGCGAAGATGTCTTGGCACTTATATATATGTATTATTGTCTTCCTGCATGTGTGATTTTTATTCTATTTAAACCATAATGCAAGTTCTGGAAGTAAGGAAAGTTATATAACACATAATAAAAGTAACAGCTACGACAATATATATAAGAATAATGTTCAGTTACGTATGAAATATTAGCTGTTGTCTAATTAATAAAAAACATACATGTAACTCCCTACAGTCTTCAATTTTCTATCTTGTGTTTTGTATACTGGTATTTTTCTTTAGATCGTTTTTCGTTTTTTGCCATGACAGTGTCAGTTTTTTTGTTGTTTTTTTTTCTACTTTCGAGTATGAATATCCATTTGGTTCTCTTTGTCGTTCTTTTACATCAATTAAAATATTTTATGATGTTATAGGAAGATTTGAAATCAGCTTAGTTTCACCTTGGAAGAAGGAGAAATGGTAGAATGGATACTGAGGTCTACTGATTAAAACCAAGATAGCAAACACAACTTATCGTATTATTTTATTTTGAATAAATGACATGAATACTCATGCATGGATTTTTAGGTAAACAAAATTTAACAAATAATAAATGAATATATCCTTATATGTGAAAAATACTGTAGGTTCAATGGCGTATCGGAAAAGCTCTATAAGCATTACGGAAACATCAAAAGACACATTTGATAGCAATTTGGTAGCTCCAATAGAACGTTTCAGTGTTTTCAGTGCAAATGTATCGACAAAAAGAGGACAAAATTGTCAAATGTTAAAAATAATAGTGCTGGTTATAATCCCAATAATTGCAATGGTTATAGAAAATGCCTTCAAAATATCAAAAGATGAAGAAAAATTGAGCCAAGAAAAGAAAATACGCGAAAAGATATCTTTTAGTGTCGAGATTGGTCTACTTGTTCACTTTTTACAAATCGAAAGAGGGACTACTGCCTTGTATATCAGTTCGGGGGGGAGTCCGCTAGTTCTTACGGATTTACAAACAAATAGATTAAAGACGGATTCCTCTCTTGATTCCCTGCACGGCTGGATAACACTCTCTTCTCCGTCTCAATTTCGGTCTCGTGATGCTTATCGTATCCATCTTCGAAATTATAGAGACAATCTTGACCATCTCAATACAACGATCAACGCTGTCATAAAATTTTACTCGAATGACAATGCACTTATGATTGGATGGGTAGGTTCTACTGTCAAAGAGTCTAACAGTGCAATAGCTTGGCAGTCTTTGACTGCATATCATATGCTGTTGATCAGCAAGGAAGAGGCAGGAATTGAAAGAGCCCTTGGAAGTACATTTTATGCCAGAGGTAATCTATTATAATATGGTTTACTTTTTATTTTAGAGTTTAAACTCGACAATACATTTTCGTTTTATTACTTAACTCCACAATTCGATCACAATATTTAAATGGCATCATTTGAAAGACGCCTTTAACCAGTTTTCTGTTTTCTTCCATTGTTACCTAGTATTTCAAACAATCATTGTATTTTTAACCCGATTTTTTTCGGAAAATGTCTGAATCAAGTTAGGAATATGACAATTATTTTTCCATTCCTGCAATTGGTTCATGAAGTCTG